TGATTTCAGATAGTAAATCATTTAAAGTCTTGTGGATAAATCAAGGCTGCGGAAGACATTCTTCCTGTTCCAAAAATATGTTCTTCAATTCTTCTTCATGCTTGTTTATTGCTTCTATTTCGCAAATCCGTTTTGCTGTTTTTCTTGTATCTGTTTTCTTCTTCAACCAATTCTGCTGATGCAACGTGCTCCCTGAAATTCTGTATTAATTTCAGACTTCAAGGAAGTCTTTCAGCCCCAACAATTTTTAATGAGACTTTTATGGATTTTGTATAATTCTATTTAAATTTACAAAATTCATTAAAATATCAGTGGAAGACACCTGTGAGTCTTATAAAATGATAAATTTATCTTTATCTTTAAATAAAAAAAATTAATTGCAATTAGAGTCCCAAAAAATTCAAAAGTACAAAACGAATCCCAATTAAAAAAATTAAAAAGGAAAGAAATTTTGAAAAAAATAAAAATAAATCTCTTTCTTTGAACTAGGCCATCCCATTGGAAGCTAATATCACGTAGATCATAAACATTTTCATTTAGATGTCTCCTAAATTACAATCCATAAAATGCATTAGAAATACTCTAATGTCTCCATATGGAACCGTATAATTTCTCAATTAGTTGAAGGAAGAATCTATTATTTTTAAGCCTCAAAACAGGGAAAAAAAACATATGGAAAGAAATGAAACACTTGGAAAGAAATGGAGAAAAATAAAGTTTGTATAATGCAATAAATTTGTTGCATAATTTAAGTGACATGGTGCTCACGAGGCATCAGTTAGTAGATGAAAATTTTGATTAAGGTTAAACTTAAACCATTTGCTTTGATCGAAGAATATTGACCTCTAGGTAACTACCAAGAGGTTAAGGTAGATAACGTTGGTTAAGGCCAATCAAAAAATGATCAGCATTTTTCGGGGTGTTGTGTTGTAAAGATATTCTTTTCAAACTCTAATAGCTCGAATATATTATTGAATTCATTCGAAATGTGAGTAAAAACAAAATTTGAGAAGAATAAGCCTTGGGTTGGTCAATTTTTCATCGTATATTCATTCTCTTTGATATTTTGGAAAGTTAGTTGGAAAAACTTTTCATCCCAAACTTATTTGTGTAAGTGTTATACCCTAAGTCCAATCAATTTTAGACATAATCGATGCGTATTTATGGCAATATCTATTATTTAATTAAATTAATATTTTAATAAATTAAATAATAGAATCCGTAGATTTAAATTTTAGTGATTTGTTAATCACAAGGAGTTGTGATTGTGAGATACAAATTACATATGACTGAATCTTAAATCGTCTGTAGTCGTATGTAATAACGAGATACATATATCTTTATTACAGATAGACCATCACGTGTGGGTCGTGTGACATTTCTTACTTTTGAAGTAGCTGATTTCACATGCTAAAGTGTGGTGAAATTTGAATGAACACACGGATTTTTTGTTATAAAACAAAACATTGGAGATCCGCTGAGAGATTTCACATGGATAACTATTTGAGTGTCGGTGGTAAATCTATAATGTTCGGTAGTAGAATTGGTCATTTGACTTGAGGTCATTATAGTATCTTATATGAGGACAATCATAATTTGGTGGTGTTGGATGTTGCTCTGTCAATGGTCGTTAATACGGCATTGTTCAGGCATGTCAAGAATCATATGAAAGTTGTGAATGATCAATAGAGGATTCGTCACTCTTAGATAGTAAGAGATTATGATCTACATTTTTTTAAGTTGATAATGAAATCCTTGGCCAAAGTGATCTCATAAGTTGAAAATGAATTTTCGACTTACATTGACTTAACAGTGGGATAAAAAATACGATCGATAATTGAGATTGACACATATCCATATCTCATAATTGATCAAATCATATTGACGAAATGAACGAACAAATTTAGTTTTATCACACTACATGACATTTCTCATCACATGTATTGTCAGACACATTGCTAGATGTCAATCTGAGACGACGAATATGAATTAGTGATAAATTAAAAGGAGTGTTTTAATTTATCGATTTTGATTAGGTATCGTGATTGGAAACCTAATGGGTCACACACAAAAGAGAACTAGAATAATGAGATTTACAAATTAATTAATTGACAGGTGTTGGACAATTAATTACTGGATTGTTTATTAATATGCCCAAATTAATTAATCGGATTAATTAATTCATGGACCTATTTAATTAATTTGATTAATTAAATATTGGACTGGGTTGCGTTTAAGAGACGGGTCAAGCCCGCTTTGGCTTATATATTAGAGAAAATTACCTGCATCCCTGCA